GGATAAAATGTGTAATGTGAAGGAAGTCAGTCGTAGTTAAAATGATCATCCGACTCAGAGTGTTTTTACCATATTTTAACCCTTGTTTTGGTTTTCTGGCCTGTAACCTCACTGTTTTACCACTCTTATGAGTGGCATTTCCCGGCTGTTGTTTATCAGTGAAAAACCTGCTATAAATCAGCGATTACCTGGTGAAGAAAGTGAAGTATTTAGCCAGATCAGGAGTTGGTGGAGAGCAAAACTAAATGAGGTTACATTCATCAGGTGACCAGAAACAAGACAAACAAGTGAAATTTTATCCGTGTCTGCTGGTTGTGTAAATAAGTTTGCCAGGTCAATTTTATACGGAGTCAGTGTTGTGTTTACAGCTTGTTGCACTGCCCCAAGTGGCCAGAAAATAAATGATTGTAGGTTTAACTATCCAGAAGTCGTGCAATTTCACATCATTAAACAGCACTGATCGTACTCCTGTACAGTTTAAAGTATGTGATAATTACTTACCAAGTACCAAAAGGCACAAGACATCATTGTCTCACTGCATCACTCTCTAACTGCTGCTTAGGAGACAGTTTGCATTCATCACTTCCTGCGGGTAGAGGCAATTTCCTCCTGCCCACGCCCAACACCAGAATTTTTGGCACAGAAGGCACTAGAATCTTACTTAGAGGGGATGAGACGCTGCAGTCTCTTCTGTGGTTCTACTTTGTGGTAGCTGAGACTGTGTATTTTTACATAGAAATATCTCCAGGTGCAGCTTTAACAGAATAAAATGTGCAGTTACAAAATAACAAATGCGACTTTCACCAGACAGTTTTACCAATAATGCAGTATAATTAGATGCTATATACAAACAACATACTGTGGGAGGTGTTGTTTTATAGTACATGTAACAATCATTCTTATACATAGCATGTTTACAGGCAAGAAGTTATTTACGGTTTTATTACTTCTCTTTTCATATAATTTTATTTTCCTGGTCAAATATGTGTTATTAGGCTATGTCTGTCAAGTCTTGTAAATATGTCAATTAACATGTCGAAGTTTACTCACTTTTCCATTTCATCTTTAACAAGGGTGAAATAATCTGTAGCTAATCTATAACAGGAATATCCAATCACTAAAGCCATTGTCTGGTGTGATTTGAAGCTCTGCCAGACTGTCATGGCAGTAAATTGATTAGCAGTGATCTACTCGTCTCTCCTAAATGCTGATCTTGGAAAATCGGTTCATGTCTTTGCCTTAAGACGAGGTTGCGGTGGAGCTCCAAGCCACTCTCATCTCCCTGCTCTCCTCTCTGTACGGCTCAGTAACAAGGCAACATAGAATCTGGTCACTGTTTCTGCCTGCTGCCTTCATTAAGCTAAAGTCTGTCTCTGACTGTTCAAGCTCGCCGGCTCTCTGGTCTTGTGCAGATTTACAGGAGCAGTCGGGATGGGGGTCGCTTGCAAATATGAATTTAATTAAATATGACTCATAGAAGACAAAACCACTTGAATTTAAAGGAGAAAAGGGTCAGGTGTGAATCTTAAAGTTGCCCGCTCTGCCCCACCTTCTCCACTTGTACCCACTCACCACCACTACCTCACACGACACACACACACACGCAATTGTACGCTCACACACACACACACACACACACACACACACACATCCACACAGGTTCCACAGCACATAGGAAGAGGAAGCAAAGATTGAGGCACCTGATCTCTTCAATCATCTTAGTTGCAGCTGTGATTAATGTAAAGTGGTTCTTATTTACAACACAAATTGCCAGGGTAGACAGGTAAGAAATACAAAATGTCTTCAATTTTCTGGTGTATGTCCGACAGCAAGGGCAAACATCAAAAGAGCTTTAATGTGAAGCGACTAATATGGAGTCAAAACCCATTATAAATGCATCGGCTGCCTCAGTTGAAGCACTTTTACCTGAAATCCTAATACAGAGATTATTTAAAGTGACAGTTTATTTAATGACACAAGAGTCTTTGTAATGCTTTCACTTTATTGTGTAAAATTTAGAGGATTCTTAACCTTGAACAGTCCCCCGTCCTCTAATCCTCAAACCTTATCTCCGCTCAGTATTTTGACTCTGTCAGTCAGTCGACTTCCACAGAGTTGGGTGCTTTTTTTTTAATCAGTGGGAGGCTGGGCTGAACAAGTGGTAACTGAACAATGAAGGAGCGGCGTAAGGGGGTTTTGTGTTTCTAAAGCCTATCACTTGTCTTTGAGGAAATTAATAGTTTTGAGTTAAGGTTCAATATTGAGAGTAAATGCTAACAAAGTACTCCTTCTGCTGTCTGGCTTTCTGCGTGTCTGTCCTGTTTCAACTCTGCCTTCTGTTAGTGTGTGTTGAAATAAATAAGAGATAGGATGGAAAGGGAAGATTTGTTAAAGTCTGATTTATTTGTATATTTTTGCAAGAGTCATGCAAGTGCATTTAAACTGTTGTTAAGACCTTCATTTTTCCTTTCCTTTCATATTGACTCCAAAACTTGCATTAGCATACCTCTGACACCCTTTAATGTGTCTCTTTCTTACCCCACTGCTGCCCTCATCTTTTCACCTTTCCTGTGTTTCCTCATATTTGTAGACTCTTTCTCTATATCAGGGCCAAAGGTCACATCTTGAGAGCTCCTGTGAAATCAATCACAGGTCAACCCTTTCAGTCTAACTCACAGGCAGCTACTGAAAGAGGCTGTTTCTGTGTGGTAAAACATAGCTGACTGGAGACAGGCCAGTGCATGCTAAGGAAAAGCTTTTATTTCTTACACAATGAAATTAATTCATATATGCAGTCCATCAGGCTTATAATCATCGCTGTGAATGTATTCATTGCAGATAGATGAGATCTTTCAGGATTAATAAATAGTTCTATACCGATGCTGCTGTAGCTGATGTTAGGGTTCACATGGGGGAGAGTGACAGATTCAGACAGGTTGACAGGAAAATGATGCAGAACAGAGCAACTGAATCACTTTGTTTCTAGAAATGTTCAGAGTTGTACAGTGCCTCGGGAAAAAAAATGGCCGCATCTTTTATTCATGTTAAGTTGTCGAGGTGTCAAGAGTTTTGTCAAGCCCCTCACTGTTCCGTTAACCTTGTCCCTGTGAAACGTTCTGTCTCTGTCTCTTTAGTTAAACATTACTGCCAGGCCACCTGGGGGGGGGGGGGATAGAAAGAGGGAGAAAAGGATAGAGAGGAAGAGGTTCTGCTACTGCTCCCCTTCATCCTTTTCATCATTAAACAAACATGGCCTCTTACCAAAAAGAGTGCAAGACGAAAGCAGCGCCATCAAGACAGAGAAGAGGAGGAGAGAGGAGGAGGAGGAGGAAGATGAGGAAGAGACTGAGGATGAAAGTGATAAAGAAGAGAGATGGAAATGGGGGGGTGCAAGGAGACAGAGTACGTGTGTGCAGAGCAGAAAGGTGTGCAGTCCATCATCTTCAGACAGGCAGACAGGGCTGTCTGGGGAGTTTATTTTTACTTCGATATAAGAGGAGTCTGGATCAGCTACAGCAGGCTGGTATGGTAGCACCTTTCAGTGGGGACAGCTGCTTCCCCGATGTGACCATCTTCCACACCTGACAATACACAGTCATATGCGTACACACACACAAAGGTTATGCTTCAACTTAAGTTCTCTTCATCTCTTGTATATTGTATCTGGATAGCTCACATGACTGGTCAATTAACCAATTTGTTTTTCAAGTTTCAATGCCAAACATGCATAAATTACAAGTATACTTTGTATCAGACTTCGACTTGGACAAAACTAGCAATATCACATTTGTTTTCTGACATTTTATAGACAACGCTAAGTAGATTAATTGAAGTTGAAGCCGCATATGGCAAAATTTTACACAGAGATTGTACACCAACTACTAACTATTTTTTCTAATACAGCTAAATACATATATATTGCATCTCTGTAATATGCACTTCATAGAATTTGTGGTCGAGCACAAATCACAGACACACAAACAGCCCCTAACCTGGTTGATATTGATTTTAGTTGAAATTTGAGGATCAAGCACAAATATTCTTCTCATTGGCATCACGTCTCATTATTCATTCAGTGACTATGTGTCGTTATATCAGACTCTCATCTAAATCTACAGGGGGCCGTTAGGAGTCAGTGTGATCTGCTATTGATCTCCTGTGGATCAATGTTTATCTTGTATTTATAGATCCCGTATATCACCCAACCCCCCACCTCTCTAAGTTGCTGTTTGTACCAGCACAGACACACTGGGAGGAGAATTGATTAACAAATCAAGCCTCTAATTAATTCTTACTGTGATCAAAGTCATGGGAGGAAGTCTGCGGAGAGCCTGAGGCTTGATGGTGAGGTGCATACAGTGCAGTCCCACAAGTCTACTCTTCTCACCATGCTGTTTGTTCTTCAAACAGGTGGGTTGTAGATTTAGCATAGCGTTGGGTGAATTTCAAATGTCGTATAAGGTTGCCCTGTCTGTTTGGCATTCGGAAGATGATTAGTGCTCCTAAGCTGGTGTGTGCCATTCTGTTTCTCGTGAGATTTGTAACGGACTTTGATGCCCCACTAGTCCCTGCACATTGCATCTGGGAGCTGCTTGGCAATTCATATCCATGCGTACGTTCCATCATCTTACTTTTTAGGCAATCCTGGGAGGAACTCCCTCTTAAATATGGATTTACCTTAAATATTGAGTAGGAAGTATAATTGTCTTAGGTCCCAAAGCAGTTGTTTCCTGGCCCCAAAGTTGGACAGAGATGTTCGGGAAACATTTACAAGAAACTCCCTCCAACTTATACGTAAAGTGAAACTTTGGGGGATTTCAAATGCTTGATTTTTTTTTGCTTGTAACTGTAACATGTCTCTCCCTCTCTTACTGTACATCTGCCTCTACTCTCTATAATTTCCCATTTTGTCAAAGTTTTTATCACTCACCTAACTGTTTGGATCTTGATGAATCAACTGACCCATTTCCTCCCACTGTGTTCTTTATTTTTATGTGCAGGTTAGCTCTGTATGTGTACGAGTACCTACTGCATGTAGGGGCACAGAAGTCAGCACAGACCTTTCTTTCAGAGGTAAGTCAAAAACTTTCTGAATGTTTTTGTGTGTGTGTGTCAGAGAGTACAGCGCATGTACGTTATGTGTCCACTCTGAAGGGTGGTCTGACCCTCGTACATTGTGTCCAGAAAGTAAAGCAGCTAATTGTATTAGCCTGGCCTTACAGTGCTGAGCCAACAGGTCGGTAGCAGCAGACAGGCATTTTAACATTAGTGTTGCATTTAGTGGGGCAGGAGCCGGAGCACTGGGAGAGTTACGACGCTCAGCCTGGAGCTGACATCATTCTCTGATCCGCTCAGCAGCTCTGTCTCAGTCGATCTCTTTCACTCTCACTCTTGTCCTCTCTGAGTCCCTACTTTCCCTTTGTGATCTTTCTGTTCTCTTCTTCATGTATCTTTCTCACACTCTTCCTCAGAAGCAAGCTTGTCCTCATTTTCATTCTGCTGAGGTAAAAAGGTGATGGGGTGAAAATGAGGTCAGTTGATTGTGGTGCTTCACTGTAAATGACGGTAAATTACAATGTAGAAGACAGTGGCGGGAGGCTTGTTGTACATCGGCCAGAGGAAGAGGAGAACAAAGAGAGGGGGATGGAAAAGGTTACATCATCAGCTGGCACCAATTCTCATCACTCTGACTTAGTGTGTGTTCGTGCACATGTGCATACACACACCTCTCTGTCTCCCTGACACCCTTTCCTCTCTGCCATATCATTTGCTCTCTCTTCCGCAGATGTGGGAGATGAAAAGGATAGGCGGTGTCATATTTAAGTGTGGGAACACATTAGCTAAGAGTGCAACAAGTACAAACACAGCCACTTGTATACAACACACATGGGTGTGCAAGCATGAGCACACACACACACACGTAGGGTAAACATTACGCCATAACGTAGCTCTTGCTGGAATAGCAGGGTGGAGTAAAACATGGTTTGAAAGGCCTGTTATCCGCTTTTTATCATCCACATCTGTTTACAGTGTATCCCCGGGCTCAAGAAACAAGAGCCCCGAAAGATGAGTCACGAATCACACCCGGATACCTAAACGTAAATACCAAATCACAGACATCTGAGAAGAACAGGCAACAAGAAAGAATGCAATCCCTTCAAACTACATTGATGGCTCAAACAAGAACAAAAAAAATACTTTAAACTCTTACATGAGAGGGAAAACAGCAAGAATAAAAAGGTTAGAATACTATTAGTATGAAGTTTATTCATATGGGTAAAAAAGGAAACTCTAAATGTAGACAACACACAGCCTACATCTGCCAGTAATCATGCTAAAGGGATCTCACTGTAGCGTGGTGAAGGTAAATGAATGAACCTCCCAGGAACGCAGACCACAAGAAGACAGGATATGCGGGCGCAGTCAATGCTGTTTTCTTCTACGCATTCCAGATGAAAAAAGAGCACACTAAAAAGTGTCCTGACCTGAACTGTCTGCAGTCATGTTTGGACTAAGCTACAGCCAATTATATGTGAGAAATGAGGGATGTCATGCCCATTCTGCATCTTTTGTACCATTTGAGCAATTATGAGGGAGTAAATCCTTCTTTGTCATGGTGTATATGGAAATTGCTGGCTGCTTATAATGTTTCAAGTTAACCGATGTCTTTACTAGAACTGCTAACTTAGTCTGAAAGCATGTGGGATAAACAAAGAGAGGCAGTTCCTGACCCCCCCCCAAAAAAACTTCAAAGCCAGGCATTCCTTTTAAAAGTCACTGTGTCTGATCTGCAGCTGAGGTCAGGACAGTCTGTTCAAAAGTGCAGCGATTGAGTTGTTATTTTAGCTCTTCTTCACATTTCTTTTATCCGTACGAAACATTTCAGAGAAGGGAATTAAAAAGATGAAATCACTTGAAAAGTCAGAGAGAAAGAGTGATATAAGTCTGTTTATAGAGGGGAGAGGCAGACTAAACAATAGTGTCATCGTCAGATAGGAGAAGCCTGACTGCTGCCCGCAGCTGCTTCTCTGCAACTGTGTGTGTGTCTGTGTCTTTGCATGTATCTGCAGATCAGGTGACACCATGTGGTAACATAAATCGTCCCTACTGTGGGTGATGTCAGCACTCATGACTGAAGTGTTAAGGTGTCAAAATGCTTCAAGAAAAGTATTTGTCAGACGGTGTCTGAAATCCTCTTGCCCCCCACATCTTTTGTTGGAACTCAACATTGGAATTGACTATGTGCTGCATCTATCAGTCCTTCTGTTACACAATGATAACGGTGGCAAATTTACCACTCGAAATTCATAGTAAATTTTGAGACAATGGGACTTGATTTCAGGCAATCAGTGTGTACGTGATCTTAATTAACAAGGTCTCTCTGAGTAAACTGGTAACTTAAGTTCATGTTAACACAGGGAGAGATCGTGTTTACATGCACTGTAGTAACCTTTCTTTGGAAACATGGCTTACTTAGTTAACAGGAGACACTGCTTCCTGACTTTTTTGTTTGTTTGTTTCCTGTGTGTGTCTTTAAGACAAAAAGTAGCTTCTCATTTCTTGCCAGTAGTCAGTCATTTTGCTGGCTGAAATAACAATTAGCGCTAGCAGGTTATATCTGCGATAGCTAGTTAGTTCATTAAGATACATGAGTAGGTTAGTTTGATTCCCTGTTTAGCTGCTTCGCTTACATATAACTCAAGAGCAAGACAGAGGTAGGTATTTATGCTTTGTTGTTTTGTATTTGTATATGTTTATGTAACAGTATGTGTCCATTTTAACACTATAAAAAGAAACTTCTGCTGTGGTGTAAACTTCCCATATCCAATATAATAGGACAGAGCAGCTAATGTTACCCAAAACTCCAGGACCAACTTAACTCCCACAAAATAACTGATTGCTGGCCTGGAAAGTAATGCCTGGTCAACAGGTGAGAACGTACTCAGTCAAGTTCTCTTTTTTTATTCTCCACACAATTAGTTCAAACAGTTTCCATATGTACAAAAACACGTACAACACTGTGAACACCTTTAAGGAATGATTGTCTCTCAGTATACACCGCTAAGCTCATTTTAACACATATTTCATCTCATCCCTCTCAACGATGGCCTGCTTTTGCCTGGGATTCGAGTGTGGCCATTCAGAAAAACTATAAACAATTTTGCCTTTAGACGTGGTCAGGTCACCATAAAAGATACCCTAGCCTTACATTTACATTTACTCATTTGGCAGATGCTTTTATCCAATGCAATTTTCATTTGAGGAACAACGTACAAACATCAATAAAGCATCAATACAGTAAGGGATCTGAAAGTGAAAATAGATACTAGTATAGATATAAATACTAAGAGCTATTGAGTAAATGTTTAGATTTAACGAAGAGTGCATCAAGGAAAATTGTAAGGAGATAGAAGAAGAAGTGCCTAGGACGTGCATGTTAGAGGTTAGGTGTTGTAAGAGGAAACGTTCTCGGAAGAGACGAGTTTCTCCAAAAGCTTCTTGAAGTTAGAGGGACGTCCCTGCCTTGATTTGTGTTATTAGGAAGAAAGGATGGAGGGAATGAGTGACTGGAGGAAGGAAAAATAAAGAAAAGAAAGGAATTAATACTGTAAAGAAAAAAGTAAGGAAAGAAGGAATACAGGATGGAAAGCAAAATAAGCAAAGATGAAAAACTGGAAGCAGAAGGACTGATAATGTGGGAGAGGAGCAGACTAAAGGGTGTGTAGGTTGTACAAAGGGTTAGATTGGGAAACTTAGGCTGGTACATGTCTGCGATCTCAGACTCTACACATCCCCTCACTCAGTAAACACATGTGCTTACAAATTTGCACACACACTCTTTCATGTGCTTGTGAATAGACAGGCATTCAGGAACACATATAATCACTTATCCACTTACGAATCTATGGCACGAGAATCATAATATAATTACATAATGGCATGTGTTGTGAGAATTCCCTTGCACCCTTTTCCAACCATGTAAAGCAGGTAATTCAGATATTGGGCATGTTTTTATATTTATTATCTTTCTCTCAGTCTCTCTCATTTTTTTTCTCTATTTGTCCAGATCCGATGGGAGAAGAACATCACATTAGGAGAACCTCCGGGGTTCCTCCACTCATGGTGGTGGTGAGTTTTTTTTGTCTAATGATTTAAGTTACATTTCCTCTTTGTGCTGTTTTTTCCTCATTCCATCATTTTAATAAAATTATAATTTTCTTCCTGTTGTTTTCATTTCTGTTCATCTCAGTTGTTGTCCCCAAAAGATCTTCCTCAGGTTGCAAACGCACTCACCTAAAGTCTCCTATTCCAATAATGATAATGGAATCATACTTATTGCCTCGATGCTGGATTATCCTATTATTTGTATCTGTCAAGCTTCAGTGATTCTCTTTTGTCACCATTCTTTCTGTGCGTTGCAGTGTTTTCTGGGACCTGTACTGTGCGGCTCCAGAGAGAAGAGACACATGCGAACACTCCAGTGAGGCCAAGGCCTTCCATGACTACGTGAGTCTGCACTGATGTAGCTTTCCTGGTTCTTTCTTGATCAGTTGCACTCTCTGATTAGTGCAGGAATCTATGCTAGGAGATGCCGTATTATATGGAAACCCAAATTGTAAAATATTAAGGAATAAACAAGACATTTTGAAATAAAAAATTATTTAAGTTATAACCACGAAATTGTGAATAATCCCAATACTGAATGAATACAGTCTGAAAGAGCTGACAGCTGATACTACATGACTCTGCCCAGTTTGTCTCGATTGACAAAGACTTTGTGACAATTAGTAGGGGTGGGAATCTCTTGGCACCTCACGATTTGATTCAATTACAATTCAGAGGGCTGCGATGCGATTATAAAACGATTATCGATGCATCTTGATGCATAATTTTTTTCTCTACAGGATCTCTGGATAATTACTAAGCATTTAATATGCACATTAAAATCCAAAAGAAACATCTCCTAATAAGCTTAAAAGGACTAGTTTGCATCCCTAATTTACTTCATTAACCTCAGCTCCATGGTCACCTGCTTCATTTCTTTAACAACCAGTTGTCAGACTCCTCTGAAAACTGAAATATAAAGTGAATTATCAGGATGTACAATATGTGTACAGGACAGAACTGTACACCAGTTTAGTCTAAGCTTGTACCTGATGTTCAACTGTTGACAATTAGGTAAGTTAGTAATGACATACAGCTGAGCTAATTAATATTACTTTGTTACTAATTAGCTAACTTAGTTAGTGGAGAAAAGTAATTTTCTCCACTAACTTTCACCGTCATGTTCTGCCGCCACTCTCTCTCAGTAGCTCAGCCTCACACACAGGATACACAGAGAGATTGTCAAGTGTCAGCATGCTCGCACAGTGTGCAAGTTAAAATCATCACTTGCGCATTGATAGTAAAGATTGTGTGACATTTTAATTGGGTAGTTAGTATTCCGCAGTGGTGGTGTGCCGAACGAAGGGGAACACTCTCTGTTATGTGGGCGCCATAGACGTTCTGGGCGCTGCACTTCCGCAAGTTCCGCCTTTTGCGTTCCATTAACATTACGTTATCAATTAACATTTAAATAATCGATTTTTTGACATTTGTTAATCGATTCAGAATCTTCCGCATCGCGGTGCATCCAAAAATCTATTTTTCTTTTCTCCCATCCCTAATAATTAGTAGCTGTATGAAATAGGATAGTCTTTGGGAAAAATGGAATTGTGAAATAAAGAGAGACATTAGGAAGTGTACGTTCTGAAATATAAGCTGCTGAACTGTAAACTATCATTGTAGGAAAAAAGGAGGATAAAATAACATATAATCTTGAGCTGAGTAAAAAATATTGATTTATGTCACACGTCTGTGGTTATCAGTTGTGTCTGTATGTATTAAAAAATGTTTTTTCATAATTTTTATTTATTTAATATTAGACTAGACTGATGATGAGATTTAGACCAGTGTTAAAACATTCCAATACTGACAAGTTCTCATCAAAGCAATGGAGATAATAACTCACTTCAGTGTCTCCTTTTCCTACTTTCTTGTTTTTTATTTACAATACACAGTTTGAAATATTACGGCTTACTAGATCCTGCAAAGAGCAACATGGATGATGGCGATGGATATGAGTGGATTGCTGCTACATTTTTTTTTATTACAATAAAACGTCTACAGGCGCAGAAACTGAGGCTGAGGATCTGGAGCTGATATCAAAGAACAGGTGCACATTTAGGCCATAAAGTTGAGACTGGGGATTCACCAACCTTCATCAGTTTCTCACATCTAATGCCAGAACAATATACTTAACACTGTTGGGTTATCATATGGCTGTAACTCGTCTTTACAGCCTTGTGAAATGGTTTTTATCTCGTTATGAATCTAGGATCTGAAGTGCTGTTTAATTGAATGCTTGTTGTGACGTTCAAAGTGTGTGATAAAGAAGTGAAGAACATACATTAAGATTTGTAGTACCTGCTACTTGTATTCTATCAGAGCACAGCAGCTCAAAAATGCTGAACGCACACACATAACTGGCTAAAGTATTGTGTGCACATTACGCTGATGTGCCGACTGGACAGGGAGACAGTGGCCCGTGTGGTGGAAACATTGTTTATTGCTGTGTTTTCTCAGTGTGGCTCCACTTCACTGTTGTAATTCCCGCACATCAGGACATGGGAGGATATAGTCATGCACCATCCAGTAACCGGAATACAGTGAGCAGTGCCAGAGCGCTCGGAGATTAGCTGGTGACTAAGAGAGAGGAAGTGCGGCTCTCCTCTCGGGAAGTTGCAAGGTGGAGGAGGGAGAGTGTGGAGGGGGGTTTTCTCTCTCCTGCTTTTTTATGTTGTTGTTTTCCTTTTGTAGGCTGAAGTCTGACTCATCAGATTTGTCTGTACTGTTGTTTATTGAGATGTATTGTTGGAAGTGCACAGGTCAGGGGTTTCTGCCTACCACAGCAGGATCGTCCCTCCTCTTCTCTCTTCTCTCTCTCTCTCTCTCACTCTCTCTCTCTCTTTGTGGTTATCTCCCTCTTTTCTTCAGGCTTGCAAACCTGCAGAGCTGGTGGGGGCTGTCTACTCTTTTATCTTCTTGCAGTAGGTGTCTGTGCTTGTGTATATGTGTGTGCATACGCAGGTGATGCTGATGCTGGCGATGATGATCAGGGTGATGAATAGGCACTCCCAAGGACGAGGCAGCTATGTGATGATGTCATCCTGCCTCAGAGGAAGGGAGCTGGAGGGCAGGACGACCTCAGCCTTGGGAGACAGACAGGAAGGAGAGAGGTGGAGAAAAATAGAGAGACCTGTGATAGGCAGACAGAATGAGGGACACACTGTTAAAAAAAGACAGACATTTCTTTTTTTATGAAGTTATTAATCTCAGATACTTCTCAACACCAAGAAAAATATATTTACAGTAATTAAATCTAATCGCTCTTAAGATGACAACAACAGTATCTTGTTCTTTTATCTGATCAGAATCAACTCAATTCAGGAATCATTCAGAATCTATCTTAGCAGAGGCCACCAGCAACATCTTATTCTTACATTTCCTGCAGGGATGTAATCAGAGAATTATAATTAGACCAATTGTAATTAGACCAAGGTCACTTTCAATCAACTCTTCCAATGCTGCGCTGCTTCTCAGATCAAATCAAAGGTGCTACCCACATATCTGCCGCTCAATTAAAGCAAAATGAGGGGACAACTGCAGTGGCCGGGTTTGGGAAAAGTAGCATGCCTTAATGCGATGCTGGTGTCTCTTCTTCAGTCTCCTGATTTTGCGACGGATAGAGACTTTAATCAGACATTTTGATGGTAATTATTTCCAGATAGCTAATTACGGAGTGAAGTCCTAATTAATGCTGGGGAGATGTAGGAGCTCATTCGCATCATCTTTAGGTCCCTTTCCTTTGATAATTGATGGGATAGTGACAAGGTTTTTGACTTGATTTGCACAATTATCCCAGTTTGAACTACCTACTGTAGATATAATTGGCTTTGAGTAAATGTGATTTTAAAAAACAGTGTCGTAACAATGTCTGTTTTGTATGTGGTTATGTACTGTTATAAGTGAGTATGTGAGGATGGTCTTCTAGGACATTAATCCAGTAATCTAATATTAAAAGGGAAAGAAAGAAAAGGCTGATGAACAAAGTGAAGAGAGATGCAGAGTTATTGATTTCCATTCTCAGACAAGGCTTTTCAGGCATCAGAAAGGCCGTTTACAGTTCTGTTAAGTGCCTTGTAAATTGTGTTCTTGATACTAGATGAGCGGTTTCCATTTGCGAGGGGCCATGAAGTCATAAAAACAAGTTATTTTTAAATTCTTATGCTTAGTCCGGAAATGGCCTTATTAGAAACAAAAGTCAGCTGATGTTGCTTTTCTGTCTTTGAAGAATAAGACATCAATCCATTCCATGTTGGTCATTTCAGGCTTTTGCTGATAGTGTTATGTGTTTGAAAGTTGAAAGGTGACACATAGCTGTACAACTGATTTCTGCAGGAACAATAGAGTGGTTTCTCCACTGACACCAAACTTTTATCCCAATTTCTGTGATCTTCAAACAAATGTGAGCAAATAAAAGCGGAACGAGAAAAAGAGAAAAATCGAGCCAGCATGAACATTGAGCATATTCTGTATATTCTATTGCATTTATCCTACTACATTATAACATTTAGAAGTCTTGCTGTGATGAAAAATGGTCAATGCAATTGAAATACGGTAAAACTTCAATTAATAGCCAAGTCCCAAATAGCCGCCTACCACGTTTACTGGCCTGGTGTGGGAACACATTTTGACAAATAAACGCAGGTCTCCATTAAATGCCTGGTCTGGTTTATATATAAGTTATTTGGATGTGTAAAACCTCTTAAACCCCGCCAGGGTCACCTGCTTTAGCTGCTTCTAAGCTGCTTTGATCAATAATACAAATATTAAAGTTTAAACTTATGATCAATATGTCAATATGAACATGCTACACATCATTACTCATCATTATCATCAGTTAAATTCCCCACAATTCAATCGTTCAGTTCATTTAACAGAAACAACCAGGCCCACAGTTTATTTCATATAGATTTACCAGTGTAACCGGCATGGTAGAAAAGAGATGAGAAAAAAAAGTGCCGACTACTGTTACCTTTGAAGCGCTCGTTAAGTCCGAGTGTGTCTGTTCCTTGATTATTAAATTCCTTTACTCTGTAGGGGTCCGCCAATCAAAAGAATCAAAGCAGCTTTTCATAAAAATTAATCCATGTTGTGATTACGATCTTGTGAAGTCCATTGCTCCCTCTCAGGTAACTTCTGCCACACTTCTCATCCTGCACCGTGTTGTTGTTGTTGTTGTTGTTGTTGTTGTTGTCCCATATGGATGCCTGTCCCAAATATAGGCAGGGTCAATTCAGTGATTTTAGCGGGCTATTAATCAAATTTTTATTTTACTGTTAAATGCATTGGTGCATGATTGTGTATTAGGGTGTGGGACTTTGCAGAATAATTATACATGCTAC